CAGGCCAGACCACAATTTCAGGACACTTTCCGGGGATAAGGCAAATTCCATGTTATTTTCCGTCTAAAACAGACGACGTTCTTCCATGTCCCCAAAGCACGAATTTAAGGAAATAAAAATGGCGTTGACGGCTGTCTCTTTTTTTGGCAGCTGAGCATAAAGAGAAGGGAAAGTGGCTTTTGTAGAGAAGCTGGGCAAAGATCAGCTTGCCTTAGATCCAATTTCAGAGGAGGAGGAGCCCAAAAGGCCAAAAACCCGATGGGCCTTAAGGTTGCAGCTCTTGCATGTGTTTAGCTGGGAGCAAGTTCTGCAATAGTCAATAGGACTCCCTGCTTTGAAATATGCACCAAGTTCTGCACAAGTCAATGGGAGTTAGGTTCTTGTGGTTTTTTTCGGGCTATAGGGCCATGTTCTAGAGGCATTTCTCCTGACGTTTCACCTGCATCTATGGCAAGTATCCTCAGAGGTGGGAGTTCTTGCCTTTTAGGGTGAAACGCCTAACAATACTTGCAAAAGCGATGCGAAGCATATCTGGATGTGTAATTGGCAACCGTTCTGTGCCAAAACCCACAATTCAGTTTAATGGCTGCATTGTGTGTGCGTGTGGCATTTGCAGAAGCATACGGGAAGCTCGGCCTGTCATTAAACATCGAGAAAACCAAAGTCCTCTTCCAGCAGTCACCAGGCAATCCCTCTCCAATGCCAGAAATACAGCTTAATGGTGTAACATTAGAAAATGATGACCATTTCCGCTCCCTTGGCAGCCACCTCTCCACCAAAGTCAGCATCGACACCGAAATACAACACCGCCTGAGCTCTGCAAGTGCAGCATTTTTCCGATTGAAGCAGAGAGTGTTTGAGGACCGGGACATCCGTAGGGATACCAAGGTGCTTGTTTATAAAGCTATTGTCCTTCCAACCCTGCTATACGCTTGCGAGATGTGGACGTCACATGCAACTCCTATAACAATTCCATCAGCGCTGCCTCTGGAAAATCCTGCAAATCATAGATTCATAGAGTTGGAAGAGACCTCATGGGCCATCCAGTCCAACCCCCTGCCAAGAAATAGGAATATTGCATTCAAATCACCCCTGACAGATGGCCATCCAGCCTCTGTTTAAAAGCTTCCAAAGAAGGAGCCTCCACCACACTCCGGGGCAGAGAGTTCCACTGCTGAACGGCTCTCACAGTCAGGAAGTTCTTCCTCATGTTCAGATGGAATCTCCTCTCTTGTAGTTTGAAGCCAATTGTTCCGCGTCCTAGTCTCCAAGGAAGCAGAAAACAAGCTTGCTCCCTCCTCCCTCCTCACATATTTATACATGGCTATCATATCTCCTCTCAGCCTTCTCTTCTTCAGGCTAAACATGCCCAGTTCCCTAAGCCGCTCCTCATAGGGCTTGTTCTCCAGACCCTTGATCATTTTAGTCGCCCTCCTCTGGACACATTCCAGCTTGTCAATATCTCTCTTGAATTGTGGTGCCCAGAATTGGACACAATATTCCAGGTGTGGTCTAACCAAAGCAGAATAGAGGGGTAGCATTACTTCCCTTAGATCTAGACACTATACTCCTATTGATGCAGGTCAAAATCCCATTGGCTTTTTTTGCCGCCACATCACATTGTTGGCTCATGTTTAACTTGTTGTCCACGAGGACTCCAAGATCTTTTTCACACGTACTGGAAGGGATGTCAGCAAATAGGCTCCTTCTACCATATGTGGTGGACTTGTAAAGAAACCACGAAGTACTGGTCCAAAGTTCATGTGGAACTACAAAAAATACTGAAGAAGTCCTTTAAAAAGAAACCTGAATATTATTTACTAGGATTTACAGACTTAGAGTTACAGCTTAATGACAATGAGGATAGGCTGTTTACGTATATCACTACGGCGGCGAGAATAACTTTTGCAAGTGTCTGGAAACAGGATAGAATCCCAGAGATTGATACATGGTTGGAAAAGGTAAGAGAAATAAGAGACATGGATATGTTAACCTTTAAAAAAAAAAAGAATACAGGCAAGGTGATAAAGAGGACCGATTGGGCCCTCTTTTGTGACTATGACAAACAAAGAAGAGAACAAGAGGAAACGGAAAATTGAAATAGGGAAATAATGGACTACAAAACTGAAATGTGGAATGGAAGTCAATTTTATTAGCACAATTTTTTTCTCTTTGTTTTTTTTTTGTTCGTTTTTTTTCTTATTATCATTACTACTATTTTTCTTTTCTCACCACTCTCCCTCTTCTTTTTCTGCACTTTTCTATATTTTATTGTTCTCACTCTTTCGATGTACTTATTATATAATCCAATAAAAATCTATTTTTTAAAAAAAAACATCGAGAAAACCAAAGTGCTCTTCCAGCAGTCACCAGGCAATTCCTCTCCAATGCCAGAAATACAGCTTAATGGTGTAACATTAGAAAATGTTGACCATTTCAGCTACCTTGGCAGCCACCTCTCCACCAAAGTCAACATCGACACTGAAATACAACACCTCCTGAGCTCTGCGAGCGGTCGGATATGTGAGACTCCACTGTATTTCCAACAAGTTTGGGCAAAACGCGGTGCATTTCATGCTGTACTATTTTTCACTGCTTTTCCTTTTGCCTTGTGATGGATGTCTAGTGTTGTTTTAAATATTAGCAAAAGTTTACAAACATTTCAATGGCAATCTTTGCTATGTTTAGTCTTTGTTTCAAATGGCAAACAGACTTGTTTCCGGAGAAAGCTGAGATGTAAATAAAGAGAATGAACTATTGTCGAAGGCTTTCATGGCTGGAATCACTAGGTTCTTGTGGGTTTTTTTCGGGCTATAGAGCCATGTTCTAGAGGCATTTCTCCTTACGTTTCACCTGCATCTATGGCAAGCATCCTCAGAGGTTGTGACCTCACAACCTCTGAGGATGCTTGCCATAGATGCAGGCGAAACGTCAGGAGAAATGCCTCTAGAACATGGCTCTATAGCCCAAAAAAACCCACAAGAACCTAGAATGAACTATTGTATACATGTCAAAATGTGAATATTGCATTTAATTACAGTTAAGACATTAACAGTTTTAAATACCTGCAGGCATGAAACGTTAGGTGGCAAGGTTAGGCAGCAGCTATTCTATCACAAATAAAATAAAATGGATATAAGGCCTGTTTTGCAATCTTATATCTTCAGGAAGAGAGCCAGCATGGTTTGAGTGTTGGATTATGACCAGGAGAGGCAGGTAATAAATAAAAAATATTATTATTATTACTATTACTATTATTATTATCATCGTCGTCATCATTATTTCGTTTTGAAAGGCATCAGATTACAGGAGCTGTCTTCATAGACCTGTCAGCAGCTTCTAACACTATAAATCATTACCTTCTCCTGAGAAAATTCATAATATCACAAAGGACTACCACCTCACCCACTTCACAAGAAAACTGCTACAAAACAGGAGCTTTTTTGTTGAATTCCAGGGCCAGAGAAGCAGATGGCGAAAACAGAAGAACAGCCTGCCTCAGGGGAGCGTGCTTGCTCCATCAATGTTTAACATTTACACAAATAATCAGCCAGCAGGGACAGACAGTTTAATCTATGCTGATGATCATGCCATCACTGCTCAAGCAGGGAGCTTTGAAATGGTTGAACAGAAGCTCTTTGAAGGTGCTCTTACTGCCAGTTACAAGGGGAAAATTCTTGCCATTGTTTGAGTCCACAGTGAACTCTGGATGTAGGTGAACTACAACTCCCAAACTCAAGGTCAATGCCCACCAAACCCTTCTAATGTTTTCTGTTGGTCATGGGAGTCCTGTGTGCCCTGTTTGGTTCAATTCTATCATACTATTTGATGGTAGGTGACTGTGAATCCCACCAACTACAACTCCCAAATGTCAAGGTCTATTTCCCCCAAACTCCATCTGTGTTCATATTTCGGCATATGGAATATTCATGCCAAGTTTGGTCCAGATCCATCATTGTTTGAGTCCACAGTGCTCTCTGGATGTAGGTGAACTACAAATCCCAAACTCAAGGTGAATGCCCACCAAACCCTTCCAGTATTTTCTGTTGGTCATGAAAGTCCTGTATGCCCTGGTTGGTTCAATTCTATCATGCTATTTGATTGTAAATGAACTATAAATCCCAGCAAGTCCTGTGTGCCAAGTTTGGTTCAATTCCATCGTTGATGGAGTTCAGAATGCTCTTTGATTGTACGTGAACTATAAATCCCAGCAACTACAACTCCTAAATAACAAAATCATATTTTTTTGAGTGATGGTCACCTCTTGGGTTGTGAGATGTTTTGTTGCCAAATTTGGTGTGATTTCGTTCATTGGTTGTTTTGTTTTTAAGGTACTCATTGTGCACAGAGCATTTTTTTATATATAGACTAGCGGTACCCTGCCACGCATTGCTGTGGCCCACATGGGGGTTCTATGTGCCTCTATCGTTCGTGGGGTTCAGAATGCTCTGTGATTATAGGTGAACTATAAATCCTAGCAACTACAACTCCTAAATGTCAAGATTCTATTTTACCCCAAACTCCACCAGTGTTCACATTTGGGCATATTGAGTATTTGTGTAGAGTTTGGTCCATATCCATCATTGTTTGAGTCCACAGTGATCTCTGGATGTAGGTGAACTACAACTCCAAAACCAAAGGACACTGCCCACCAAACCTTTATAGGTGAACTATAAATCCCAGCAAGTTCTGTGTGCCAAGTTTGGTTCAATTCCATCATTGGTGGGGTTCAGAATGCTATTTGATCGTAGGTGAACTATAAATCCCAGCAACTACAACTTCCAAATGACAAAATCATATTTTTTTTAGTGAAGGACAAACATTGGGTTGTTAGGTGTCTTGTGTCCAAATTTGGTGTCAATTCCCCCAGTGGTTTTTGAGATCTGTTAATCCCACAAACGAACATTACATTTTTATTTATATAGATTATTATGACTCTGGGGACTCAGCCATGGAACCGCACAGGGCAAGTCACACTCTCTCAACTTCAGAGGAAGGCAAATAGAACAAACCTCTTAATAAGTTCCTTATAAGGTCAGCCGTAAGTCGGAAATAGCTTAAAGGCACACAACAACAGCGGTCAATATTGGACAAGTTTGCAAAGCAATGGTACTATAAATCCCAGGGCTAGTGTGGGATGGTCAAGACTGTTATTCTATACATCAGTATTTCTCAACCTGGGGGTCGGGACCACTGAGGGGGTCGCGAGGGGGTAT